TCTGTTATGCAGTGCGCTCTGTAGCTCTGCAAGGATTTCAAAAAGCGCAAAATCAAGCCATATAAAAACAGTGTTTCTTTCTGCTTGAAGTGTCCAAAGCAAGCAAGCACATTGCTTTGTGCGAGAGGACACTCAACATTCTTCAAACACAATACTGCAGCACTTGTTCCTTTTTAACACTCCCATAAGAAGCTCATAGCAGAGGCAAATGGAACTTAATCAAGCAAGCATTTTTAAATCATAGAGATTTCTTCTGTTGTTACACTTATTACGGCCTTTTCCTTTTATTTCTTTTCAGGAAGGCAGCAGTATTTCAATATTTCACCTCAAAGGCGCCACCTGCTGGACACCTTGTTCAGGTCAAATTAAAAATTGTATATTAAATAGTAAGTACTCCACAAGACACTTGCTGGGCAAGAAAAGACAAGGATGCAGTTTTGGAATTAAAAGTAATTGTACATATAGAGTAGAATACTCTAGTACTGGAGAAGTGTTGTGAAAAGAATTAGCCAGTAGCTATAAGTGGGGAACTGGAAATCCTAAAGTGGGTAATAGCATAGAAAAAATACATAAACCAAATTAAATGTTATCAGGCGTGTAGTGTGATTTTAATATTTATATTAATGCACAGGATGCATGCATACTGCTCTAACACAGGCTTAGGTGACAGGCTTGTATGAAAAAGAACACATTACTTGCTGTGTAAGCACGATGCGTATTTACCTGGATCGTGTATGCATGAGTAAGCATGCTGTACTAAAATCGGTGCTTCGTGCTACAATGGCATTTCTGCGGATTTTGAGGTTTCTATTGGACAACACTTGATTAGTGATTGTGGTCAGTCTTTTTGATCTATCTTTCAAATGGTATGTGGGCCACATCTGGTTAGAAAACTCAAGGCTTAAAAAGGAAAAGTAATGCTTTATTTTAGGTGTGTGTTATAAAGAACTGATATTCATTCCTGGTCTTGAATGGCTGGTTTTATTCTACCTGGGGCATTTAATGGCCTGATGTGAATCAGTTGTTTGTCTCATTGGTCTATATCACAGGTTGCCTGGTCTTTACTCAAGCAAAATTAGATGTGATTTATAAAACCTACTGAACTACAACCCTCTAGCACCCAGAGTGAATATCACTGTTGAAATAATGTATTTATGACTCATACCACCATACTGTGACTGCCAGAACTCCAACACTCCATGGATAGTAAATGTATTTGTCTGTCTCACTGTGTACTCCCATTACCAGAAATCCTCACAGAGGAGACACAGGAGTCAGAGTCATTCAGTTCATATTCAAGTAATAAGCTGGAGAGTCCAGCTGCCTTCTTCATGGGGATAAACCCAAGGGGACAGTTTAGACCAGCCAATCAGTCCTCACCTGCATGACTCTGGAACCAGAGAGGAAACTGGAGCAACAGGTACAAACCCACACAAACACAGGGAGAACATGCAAACTCCACACAGACAGACCAGGGCCAGAACTGAATGGCTCTACTCAGGCCCAGAAGCTGTGAGGCAGCAGGGCTTAAAAGATACTTTGCTATGCTGCTCATTTTGTT